TGAATTTCTCTCTGTTTGGAAATTTTTTAAATAGTATTTTATGGAAGACGTTTTCCAAGCCTTTAGGAGAGTCCTCATCTAGAAGATGGGGAATACCCATTATTCGGATATTTGGGCATTTCAGTATGCAAAATTTCCTGTATGTTGTTCTCTTTTTTTTTTTTCCCCCATTCTTTTTGGTGATTTGGTCTAGGTTGGAGACTTTGTCTACAAGATCAGAAATTCTTTCTTCTGCATGGTCCAATCTGGTGTTAATGGTTTCTAAGGAGATTTTAATTTCTTGTATTATATTTCTCATTTCCAGAAGTTCTGTTCGATTCTTTTTTAGGGTGTCTATTTCGTTATGAAACTCTTCTTTCATGTACTGAAGTGATTTTCTCATTTCCTGAAACTGATTATCTGTTTTCTCTTGCATCTCACTGAGTTTTGTCACTATAAATATTCAGGATTCTTTTTCTGACATTTCTGTGCATTCCTCTGTGCTGTCCACTGTTGACGAGGGGCTACTGCACTCACCTGGGGAAGAGTTACCCCCTTGTTTCCTCACATTTCTTCATGATCTGTGCTGGTTTTGGGTCATCTGATGCAGTATTCACTTTTTTGTATTTATTGGAGTAGATTCTGTAGTATTGGAAGAGGAAATTTTGCCCTTAGTTCCTAGGTGTGTTCCTATTGGAAGGCTGTGTCTCCCGGGTCAGAGCAGCTAGGGGTCACTGCAGGTGCTTGGCTCCTTCACCAAACATTCAGCTCTTGATGAAGTGGTAGCAAGCTAAGGAGATAGAACTTGGCGAAGAGGATCAGGCTGTGCGCTGCACAAGTATAGCCCACAGGCTGGTGGACCAAAAGTTCCAAATTACTCCTAGGCCCCAGGTGTGGACTCACCTGCACCCTATAGCAAATCTCCCATGCCACCAGGTTTCTAAGTGGTTTGTTGCACGGCGATAATGAAAGCAGCCTCTGCTATTATACACTATTGTCTCACTCTCATTCTGACATAATCTGCCTCCTCGTGCCCCATCCACACTCAATGGGTGTTCTCTCTCTCTCTCTTTAGGTTTTTGCTATAGGGTGCATACACACACTAGAGAGAGACAAAGAGACAGGGAGAAAGACAGTGACAAATCACTCCCCCACAGGGGGATGGCCACACCTCAATCCTTTCTCCATTCTCCTCTAGGATTTTAGGCACACGCACATACACACACGTGCCTGGTGTGATTTTTCAAGCTGCAGGTTGAGGACTGGGATCATGGTCAGCCATGTGGGATCCAGTGCCTTAACCACCATACCACCTGGTCTTTAACCCTCTCTTTGCTCTTCTATAACTCTGTAAGGAATATCACCCACTTCCACCGTTTCAACAACCACCAGACAGTACATAGCTTTAGCTCTGGTCATCTCTCTGAATTTCAGGTCCAAGTATCTACCTTCTACTGGACTTGTCCATTACTGTCTCAGTGACACCTCTGCCCAAAGCTAAACTCATCATTTTCTTCTTTGCAATGTTTATTTTCTTCCTTATTTATCTCTACGATGATAAAAGTCACATCATAGGAGTTGGTTGCATCAACACCGGTACGTAGGTGCAGACCAGCGTGTCCTTGGATTTAGAGAGCTGGACCTCCAGCTTCGGAGCGGGAGCTCTATATTCTCGAGCCACAAAAGAGAAAATTAAAAATGGGTGATGTTGAGAAAGGCAAGAAGATTTTTGTTCAGAAGTGTGCCCAGTGCCACACAGTGGAGAAGGGAGGCGAGCACAAGACTGGCCCAAATCTCCAGGGTCTATTTGGGTGGAAGACAAGTCAGGCCCCTGGATTCTCTCACACAGATGCCAACAAGAACAAAGGCACACCTGGGGAGGGGATGCACTGAGGGAGGATTTGGAGAATCCCAAGAAGGACATCCCTGGGACAAAAATAATCCTTTCTGGCATTAAAAAGAAGTCTGAAAGAGCAGAGTTGATAGCTTATCTTTTTTTAAAAAAAGAGTTATTTATTTAATTTTATTCTTCCATTCAGTAGCTTATCTTAAAGAAGCTACTAATGAGTAATAGGTGACCACTGCCTTATTTACGACAAAACAGAAATGTCTCATCTTTTTCATCTGTACCATATTTTAATTGATCTCTTCCACCAGAACTCAGATCATGAATGGCTTTCAAGATATTCTTGTTGGACAATTCTGATTTAAGTAAGACTGGTTTGTGGTTAAATGAATATTGTTGTGTTTTTTTTTTTCAATTTTGATAGTAATTTCAGTTCAGTAGGTGCTATCACTATTTGTCCTTCCTAAAGATATAATTGCTAATTCATTAGTGATGCTCATCTTTCTACAAGGACGGTGAATGCCATCTCAAAAGCCTTCTGGAGATTGGTTTTATTTAGGCTTATATGTAACTGGTTATGTGAATATATAAATGCTGTGGAAATCCCCTCACTTCTCAAAGCTAAGAAGACTCACCTGTGGTTTTTTGTTTTGTTTTGTTTTTTGGAGAGGTTTTTGCTATAGGGCATGTACACTCGCCAGAAAGACAAAGAGACAGAAAGCGAGAAATCACCCCCCAAGGAGGATGGCCACATCGCAATCCCTTCTCCTCCATTCTCCTCTCGGGATCTTGGACACACATGCACACGTACCCGGAGTGAGCTTAAGGCACCGGGTCCGGGACTCAAACTGCAGTCAACTACATGGGAGTTCAGTGACATAGCCATTATGCCAACTGCTGGTCCCTTACCTGTGTTTTAATTGGTGTTCATTAACCTGTGAAAGCAAAGGCTAAAGATAAGGTAGTAATGTCTACTTTATATATTTGGTCATAACCTACCAATTAGAATTCTCTGTATCCAAAACACTGCCTTTTACTTATTGAAAGACATTTTAGTGTGGTTTATGTATACTATCTAATAAAGAATATGCAACACTTTACACATTTTATAAATGATTTGTAAGGTCGGACACTTTTGAAAGTCAGTGTGACAAGATTTAGTAGCATGTTAAAATTTACCTTTGAATTCTATTATGTAAGTCAGACTAAGTGCTAGTTCAGGGTTGTTAAGCAACTGTTCAAAACCACAGAGAAACTGAAGAACTACTGTGTATGTGTGATTGGCAATGGTGCTTTTGCCAATTTATTAGAAGGGTTAAAGTAGAGGAGGTATACCATCAGCATAGATTTGTCAATTATGCCATCATACGACTTAAGGTAACTAAAAACCAAATGACAGATCATGAAGATTTTAAAAAGTCTCATCATAAGCCCTCTGACTGGAGTCGAACATCAGGAACCTACTTCCTGCCTTCTCCACAAATGCAGAGACTGAACCATCTCGGTGTCTGCCCTGCCCTTCGTGCACCTGTAGTACTTTTAGCTGGGTATACAGCCACTGAGACTAAACGCCACATCTCTGTGTCGCATGTCCGAATTCCAGCCAATGAAATGCAAGCAGCTGTGTTAGAGGTCAATTCCTGAATCATGCTTCCAGAGATAATGCCCCCACACTCTTGGACCATGGGACCGACTTGGAAATGGAACCACGAGATAGAGGAGCACAGACTCCAGGCACATGGAGTGCTGCCCAGTGACGATTTGCCTGCCCTGATATTTACACAAAGAAATACACTTCAAGGCCAGTCAGTGATGTGGTTAAGGTGCTGGATCCCACATGGCAAACTGCATGGTTCAAGTCCTGGACCTCTTAGTTTGAAAAACATGCCGGGCACATGTGCATGAGTGCCCCAAATCCCAAGAGAATAGAGGAGAGGGAATCATAGCGTGGCCATCCCCTCTGGCAGGTGATTTCTCACTCTCTCCATCTCTCCGGTGAGTGCAAATGCCCTATAGCAAACTTAAATAAATAAATAAATAAATAACATGCACTCCTATCTTGTTTAAGCCACTGTCACTTGTGTTTCATGTTACCTGCAGAATACCCGCATCATCCCATTCTCTCTCCTACCTGTTTCTCCAAGCACTCAGTAAAAAACGTTACACTCTAAGAAGACTTAGAATAGCAACACCAACGTAAGATGGATAAGTTGTTTTCTATGCAGGTATTATTTCAGAACAGGAAATCAAAAACCAAATGAAAAGGACCAAAACATCTACACCAGGCTTAACTAAAGATAGCAACTCTATCCCACACTATGAATGATTACATTCGGTATTCTAGTGTATGAATCAGTGTCCTGAGGACCTAGTTTGTGTGCCATTGTTGTATCCGGGTACACCAGCGAAGTCAAGTGGCTCAGACCTGGAAAGGCAAAGCTAATTCAGTGTCTGATCAGTCATTCTGTCTGTGTGACATTTCATTTTGTCTTTGACCTTTGACATCACAGTTAACTTTCTTACTGTAGCAGGGTGCATTTTCTGAACATGGACGCACATTCCATATGGTATTCTTCTAACTTCTATACCCCTGTCATCAAGAGGTAGGTTTCTGTTTCCTGCCGTTGAATGTGGTCACACTCGTGATGACAGCAGAAGTGACACTGTGTACTTACTAGGCTAAGTCATACAGAGCAGGACAGGTTCTTCCCGGTCCTCTTGGGACACTCACGTTTGGGACCCAGACACCATGCAGGGAGGAAGCCCAAGTAGCCCAGGGAGAAGAACCAGAGTTTCAAGCCCGAAGTGCCAACTTGCCACCTGGGAGTCACCTACAAGTAGACCATCCACTCCTCAGCTGAGCCTCCTGCTGGCCCTTCACAGAGCAGACACGAGCACTCCTCACCTGCCCAGATCACAGATCAGTGAGCAAACGCGCAACTGCTGTCATGGGGCCAGCAAGCTTTGGAGTGATCTTCTCTACAGCAGAAGATGATCAGAATACAAATGATTGGGTTGTCAAAAGAAGTCATGATGCAGTTTTACATAGAAAACGTGTAAGAACATATGTCATGAGTTTTCCAACAACCTCAATAAGTGGTTGGGCTGGGGTTTGTTTACCACATGAAAGAAAAAGCAGCATTTTACTTTAAAAAAATTAGAAAACTTGTGTTACCTTCATGTCGCCGTGTTCAGTGAGCTGTAGGTAGTCTCTGGAGCCAGGTGCTGAAGTGATATATCCCAGAAATATCACCTGATTCGAGCGACTTTTCAGTAGTTCTGAGACAGCAATAGCCTGCAGTTTCCTGTCAAGGTCATCTCTTGAAAAAAAAAAAAAAAAAAGGCAAAAACGTGCCTCTTTATTATATTCGCAAACAACTTTTAAAAGCTCGTAGGTATCTAAGTTCTCAAAGAATATCTTCAAAAAGTATGCAGACACAGAAACCCAGAGTAATTCCTGCTTGGGCAAAGGGTTCAGTGTTACACAACGGACAGAACAGAGACCCAGAGCGCCCACTGGGAGGGCTGACACACCGTGGACTAAGAACGTGATTTTTCTCAGCAAATCACTTGGAGTCAAGTTGATTTAAACGTCTATTCTAAGTATGGTATTTTTTCAACTTTTCAGAAAGCTTTCTCTCTCTAGCTGCCCAAGATGGTAAAGGGAAAGAAGACTAAGAGGAGCAGGTAGCTCCGGCCCCCGCTGTTGTGAAGAGCAGCAGGCCAAGAAGGGAGTACATTCCCTGTTGGAAAATACCTGCAATTTTTGGCACTGGACAGGACATCCAGCCCCAAAGGGACCTTAATCACTTTCTCAAATGACCATGTGGCTACATGTAGCTATAGCACCAGCAGGTTAACCTCCACAAGGAAGGGCTGACCTCCAAAAGAAAGAGTTGACCTCCATAAGAAAGGACAGACCTCCCCAAAAAGAGTTTACATACCCAGGAAAGGGATGACCTCCACAGGAAGTGTTGACCTCCACAAGGAAAGACTAACCTTCCCAAGGAAGGACAGACCTCCCCAAGGAAGGACAGACCTCCCCAAGGAAAGGCTGACCTCCCCAAGGAAGGACAGACCTCCCCAAGGAAGGACTGACCTCCCCAAGGAAGGGCTGACCTCCCCAAGGAAGGGCTGACCTCCCCAAGGAACGGCTGACCTCCCCAAGGAAGGACCGACCTCCGAAAGGCTGACCTCCCCAAGGAAGGACTGACCTCCCCAAGGAAAGGCTGACCTCCCCAAGGAAGGACAGACCTCCCCAAGGAAAGGCTGACCTCCCCAAGGAAGGACAGACCTCCCCAAGGAAGGGCTGAGCTCCCCAAGGAAGGGCTGACCTCCCCAAGGAAAGGCTGACCTCCCCAAGGAAGGACTGACCTCCCCAAGGAAGGACTGACCTCCCCAAGGAAGGGATGAGCTCCCCAAGGAAGGGCTGACCTCCCCAAGGAAAGGCTGACCTCCTCAAGGAAGGGCCGACCTCCTCAAGCTGCTGAAAGTGCCTCCTACTGTCCACCAGCTCACCAGTCCCTGGACCTCCAGACAGCTACTCAGCTGCATAAGCGGGCCCACAAGTACAGACCAGAAACTGCTGGCCTGGGCTGAGAAGATCCTGGTGAAGGGGATGTCCCCACTAAGAGAACGCCCACCCTCCAAGCACGCATTAACGGTGCTGCTGCCTTGGTGAAGACCACCCAGGCTCCGTGGGTGGAGGCTCTGGATCCCTGGAGCTGGTTTCTCCCCCCACCACCACCCCCAGAGTGGGTGCTGCTACATTAGCAAGAGGAGGTCAGATTGGGACACCTGGGCCCCAGGAAGACCCTAACCACTGTTACAGTCACAGAGGTTAACTTGGAAGACAAGGAGCTCTCGCTAAGCTCGTGGAAGCATCGGGACCCACAATGATGACCCTCTTTCTACATGATGCTCGGCCCAGATTTAAAGAAAAACAGTGGGGGGACCAGCAGTTAGCATAATGGCTATGTCACTGGACTCCCATGTAGTCGACTACTGTTCGAGTCCCGGACCCAGTGGCTTAAACTCATGCCTGGCGCATGTGCGTGTGTGCCCAAGATCCCGAGAGGAGAATGGAGGAGAAGAGACTGCAGCGTGGCCATCCCCCCGGGGGTGATTTCTCTCTTTTTGTCTCTCTGTCTCTCTCTGTCTCTCTGGCGAACGCACGCGCCCTATAGCAAAAAACCTCTCCAAAAAAGAAAAGAAAGAAAAACAGTGGGGATTAACCAGTGACTCAGTTAGTTACCTGAAATTATATCCATTTTTTAATGGTGCTTATTTAAATGACTTCAAAGAAATGCTGTGATTTCCTGTGTATTGGTTGTAAAGAGATATTTGCCAAGTCAGGAATTTTTAAAAATCTTGTCAAATCAACACATAACATGCACAAGTATCTGTCATTCCTTCCTAACAGGATTTCACATTTGCCCTAATCATTGGAAAAGGCCATTTCTAAATATTCACTATGGCAGGAATTTTTACATCTAGTATTATAATCACAGAAGGCAAACAAAAACAGGTACTGCTGGCCCCTGGAGTCCGTCAAGGTGTTCACTGTCCGAAGTCACTTGCTGGGAGGCGATGGAGCTCACGGTGCTTCTGGGGACGGGCACGTGGTGGCCCAGGGGCACAGACGATGCCTCCTCTGGGCCTGGGCCATGACAGAAGCTTGATTCATGGTGAAGGCATGAAATTTTCTTAAGCCGCCCAGCCTATCTACTGTAAGTGTTGTCTGCTGTGGTTTAATAATGACCAATATTGAGGCCAGCAGGTGGCATGATGGTTGAGGTGCTAGACTCCCATATCGCTAATGGAATTCGAGTCCTGGACCCAGTGGCTTGAGGCTCACGCTGGGCACATATGTGCGTGCCCAAAGTCCCAAGAGGAGAAGAGATTGTAGCATGGATGTCTCCCCTGGGGTGTGAGGTCTCACTTTCTGTCTGTCTCCCCAGCGAGCATATATGCCCTACAGCAAAAATCTCTCAAACAAAAAATAATAATAATCACCATTATTGGAAAAAAGCACTGGGACCAGCAGATGGCTTTATGGTTATGTCACTGGACTCCCACGTAACCAACTGCAGTTTGAGTCCTGGACCCGGTGGCTTAAAACTCATGCTGGGGGCACATGCATGTGTGTCCAAAATCCCAAGAGGAGAATGGAGAAGGGATTGTGGTATGGCCATCCCCCCTTGGGAGTGATTTCTCACTTCCTGTCTCTGTCTCTCCGGCAAGCACATGTGCCCTATACCCAAACTCTCTCCAAAAAAAAAAAGCAGTTATTACATTCAGGCACTTTCAGGAGATCCTATATCTCATTAAATTCTCGTAAGAACTCTAGGGAACAGATAAGATTGTTGCCCTGACTTACAGAGCAGGAGACTAAGGTTCAGGGAAGCTAAATAAGTTGATGAAAGAGACAGTTAGTGGCTGAATTAGAATTCAGACCTGCTTATCTGATTCCAGGTTCTGGAACCCCACACTGTCCACCACTAACCCACACGGCCTCCCTCCCTGGAGTTCCAGCCCTCCCCTGAGTGTTCGCTATTCCTGTCACTGCTGTTGTTTCTGTCACGTTCTTAAACCAAATGAGGACGACAGCAAGCCAAGCCTGCGGTGCTCTCGGTGCTGGAGCGCGTGAGCGCGTGGGGGTTAGTAATCCGGGAAAGGCAGCCCCTCCCGCCTCTTTCTAAGCCCGTTCCCAGGCTGCCCTTTCACCTTCTCGTCTCTTTCAAGTCCCTTTTTAACACTTCAGGAGAGGTTAGAGGAAATTAAGGAGGAAATCAAAGCAAAGCCAAGGAGTGGAGCCAACTGTTTCTTCATTGAAACCTTGCAACTTTTAAACATGACAGTACCCATTTTTTAAACCCAGTCCAAGTGCAATGCAAGGGCAGGGGAATGACGTGACTGCCTGCCCTTGCTACGGGGAAATTCCTGGGAGAGACAGAACACATTTCTTCAAAGGTTCTTTTTAAAGAGTTGTAGACCATCTCTCTGTCTAACCTCCTCCTAGTTTGTTTCTTTTTTAAAAAACATTTATTTTATTTGTTATTATTATTATTTTAAATTTGACCAAGAGAGATAGAGAAAGGGAAAGGGAGAAAACAAGCTGCCTAGTCCGGGACTTGAACCGAGGTCGGCCATGTGGGAGTCCAGCACCTTAACCGCTGCATTACCTGCCGGTGCCCCCTCCTACTAATTTTTAAGGAGCAAGCAAGAGCAGACTAGCAAAGGTCTCCTAATCACACTGGATGATCTGCTCATACTACTTATGTCTGACTTATTTCAGGAAATAGTCCACATCGTGCTGTAAGAGAAAGCAGGTGACCGGAAACAAGGACGGAGGTGCAGCCGTCCTGCGGGTCAGACAGTGCAGCGGTGTTTCGCTAATGCTCCGCAGGTCACTGGAGAGGTCAGGGCCCCTTGTGCGATCCCTGAGCCCAGCCCCGGTTACAGCGCAGAGCTCTCCGTCCGTGTATCAGCGGCGACGTTCTGGTATGTTGGAGAAGCAGGTGTGCACTCCTGACTGCGTTCACGACACGTTAGCGCTACTCACGACTTCGCCAGCACTCGGCCACATGCGAGTGTCATGCTGAGGGGACACATCTCACCCCCATTCTTCACGCTTCCCTGGCCAGGGACTTTCTTAGGAGCATCACTGGCCTTTCTCCCCTGCCTTTACTTTTCTGGAGGACTTTTATAATGAATTAGGTTGGGAAGAACTGTTGTCTTTGCCAGTCTGAAGACAGGGTGTTTCTCTCCTGTTCTTTCCAGGGGGAGTTGATGGGCTGGTCCTACCCTGCTGGGGAGTCAGTTTCACGAACCGCTGGGGGCGGGCTCAGCAAGTCCACACGGCACTCAGGTCTCAGAGCCAAGGAGGCCTATGTTTTGACCATCTGCAGGTCCCTCTGCCTACCTATCAGCTATCGGTAAGAACCTGAGCGGGGAGGCGGCAAGTATTGGCGTGGTGGTTAAGGGGCTAGCCACATGGCCGACTGCAGTTCGAGTCCCAGACTTACAGTAGTTGTGGTGTGTGTGCGTGTGTGCCCAGAATCCCGAGAAGAGAATGGAGGGTGAGGCCAGCAGGTAGCATGGTGGCTAAGGCACTGGACTCCCACGTGGCCAACTGTGGTTCAAGTCCCAGACCCAGCAGCTTAAAACTCATGCTGGGCACATGTATGCCCAAAATCCCAAGAGGAGAATAGGGAAGAAAGGACTGCAGTTTGGCCATCCACCCCGGGGAGTGAATTCTCACTTTCTTTTCTTTCTGTCTCTCTAGTGAGCACACTCACCCTAGAGAAAAAAAAAAAAAAACACTTCTCTCATAAAGAAAAGAGAAAGAGGGACCAGCAAGTGGTGTGGCTCTCATAAATAAAAGAGAAAGAGGGACCAGCAAGTGGTGTGGTGGTTAAAGCACTGTACACTCCTACATGGCCGACCACGGTTCAAGTCCCAGACCTGGTGGCTTGTTTTCCTGCTTTCTCACTTTCTCTATCTCTCCTCTCTGTGTCTCTCTCTGGCCAAATTAAAATAAATGAATGAATAAACAAAATTAAATAAATAATTCTAAAAGACAAAAGAAGGGAGGAGAAAAGATTGCAGCATGGCCGCCCGCCCCCCATGGGTACTTTCTCACTTTCTCTCTCTCTGTCTCTGTCTCTCTCTAGCGAGCCCACATGTCCCCCTGAGTGGGGCAGGGAATCGTGTTCAGTAGCCTCTGACCCCATCTCAGCAGGGATCCTATGGGGAGAGGGCATTGGCGTCTGGGTCTGGCTTACGTGCGTCTCTGAGCACTGCTCACGCCGAGGCTGGGCTACCTCCTTCCAGCTGGGACGGGCGGGATAAGTCACTGAGCTCTTGGCTTCTTTATCTGAAGATTAAACATTACAGGCCCAGCGTGGCCCTGCCAGACCCATACTGTACAGCTCAGTGACTGAGGGCCAAGGTGGCTATCACCAACCCATCACCAGGGTCTGCCTGTCGCACTAAGGTGATTTTAAAAACCAACACGGAAAAAAATATATATAATACTTTAGCAGACAAAACAAGAAGTAAGAAATGTTATTTCATAGAAATCAGAGTAATATGTTACCAGCATGTCCTGTTGGCATTTTTGTAATGTTAGCTAACCCAAAGAACGCACTCATAATTCCCAAAGTGTGTCACCACGAAGTCGACCGGTCGGCCCGAGACATCAACCGTCATTGTGATGGCTGGTGCGATCTCGCCCTCTGGCGACGGGAGAAGGTGGTGCTCCGACTTCACGATCGGGTACCTTGACAGAGCCATAATCCTGTGCGGGTCAGAAACACGCGTCATCTTCGCGCAGCCGGGACTATGTGGGTGCATTTGCGAGGGCTCGCCTGGCTAGCCTGATGGAACGGCGGCTGGGGTGCTGCCTGCAGGGCTGGAAGCCACAGGCTGACCTGGGCACAGGTACCTAAGACCCCCATGCATTGGAGGACGAGGGAAGACGACCGCAGGGTGACCAGACTGTCGCTCTCTCTCTCACAGGGGGCTTCTCTCTATCATGAATAAGGGAGAGACAGAGGGAAAGCGATGTGTCCCACGGCGTGCCTGGCACCGAGAGCACCGAGGCGGCAGACATCCATGGCCCTGCCGTCAGCTCGCTGCGTCCCTGCCAGTCAGCACGTGCCTGTGTCACCACGCACAGCACCACCAACGCCGCCTCAAGAAGCGCTGTGGACACACGCAACAGGCAGCAGCGGGGACATGCAGTCTCCTGGACTGCGCCGTTACCCCGGCAACCCAGTTGCATGAACAGTTCCAGTATCAGTCAGCACACATGTGGGGCCTACAGTCATGCCAACAAGGACGTGAAGTCACGGTTTCGGAAGCTGGGAGTGAAAAGCGTCCAGTAAGCCCAGCCCCGTGTTCTGGACTGCAAGGCTGGCAGCCACACGGCGGGCCCAGGTCTGATCCCCGGCTCCATCTGAAAACACGCTGGATATGTCCGTGGGAGCCAAGCTCCGGAAGAGCTGGAGGACTGCAGAATGGGGGTCTCAATGTGAGGACACCCTGTTAGGGGTGTCTCCTGTCCCTGTCCCCCACACATGCATACACATTCTTTATCATGAATAAAATAAAAAGAAGTTTTTAACAAGTGTCTCTGATGGCCTGGTGGTTAAGGCAGCTAGATCCCATATGGCCAACTGCACGGTTAGGGTCCTGGACCCAGTGGTTTGAAAGACATGCTGGGTGTGTGCGTGCTGAAAACCCAGAAGGAAGGAGAGAGGGAGGAGGGACTGCAGCATGACGGTGCCCCCTGAGGGAGCTTTCTCACTTCCCTGCCTTTCTATCTCTGTTTCTCTCTGGCAAAAATTAAAAAACAAAATTAAACATGAAAATCTGTTCTTCCCAGAATGGTTGGTATGACCTTGTAAACTATAAATCGAATCAGACCAGTCCTCTGTTTACAGTCTCCCGGGGACCCCCCCTCACATGGGCGAATGGGCCCTGGAATCCAGCTCCACTCCTGCCTTCATTCCCCACAGCCTCCCCTTCCCCTTTCCCCCGCACCCCAGGTCCACCTCGAGACTTCCCAGAGGTTCCCTCAGCTCGCCTGAGCTGGTCCCAGGTTCTCATCGGGACCTCACGCCTACAGCGGCACTGCCCAGGGCCCCCGCCCACACGCCACTCTCTAGGGAGCTCGCTCTTTCTTTCAAATTTCACTGTAGGAAACGTGCAGTTGCCAGAGAAAGTGGGAAATCACTCCTGGGAGGATGACCATGCTGCAATCCCTTCTCCATTCTCCTCTCGGAATTTTGGGCACGTATACACACATGCCTGGCATGTTTTTGAAGCTACTGGGTCCAGGACTCGAACCGTGCAGTGGGCCATGTGGGATATGGTGCCTTAGCCACCAGGGTACTGCTGGCCCCAAGCTTGTTTCCTACACAGCGCTTTTCGGTCTCCTGATTTGCTTAGTTCTTTCTTTGTGTTCAAGTTTATTTCCTTTCTCTTCACACTGAAATGTCCGTTCTGTGAGGACAGACCCAGGGCAGACACGCTGGGCACTGTGACCTCAGCCCTGCCCTGAGCGGTTTATGATGATGGAGAGCAGGGAGCGGCCAGCGACAGGGAAGCCGCGCTAGAAACCAGGGAACATGCATGCCTTCAGCACCTGCCCCGTCCCCCGTCCTCACCGGGCACTCGCAGCGCGCAGACAGGAATCTCGGCTCTCCCCTGTGACCCCGCTGCCTGGCCTTTCAGACTGTGTTCAGATCCACTCACCCCCAGGTGTGGTCCCTGGTGCTGGGACCGAAGTCTGTGTAGAAACTCAGCCTCTCCCCGAGCCACATGGTAAGGTCGTTGTTCCCTATGTAGGGCTTGGACGCGTCGCTCTCCAAAATGGTTATAAAATCAGCACCTAGGGGGAGGGGGGGGGACCATCATTAATCACAGCAGTGCAGACAGCGAGCAGAACTTTATTCTAGACCTGACCCTGTCGTCTTCACTCAGGGCCCCAAAAGAGAGTGATTCCAACTGAGTCATTAAAGGGAAGGGGAGGGGTTCGAATAGAAGCGATCAAGGAATTTTCCCATATTCAGAGTGGAATTAAAACATGGAACACCAGGAGGAAATACTGGGAAGGATAAAAGTAGAACTTCAAAATTTCAAAATATTCTTGGGGGACCAGCAGTTGGCATGATGGCTATGTCGCTGGACTCCCATGTAGTCGACCATGGTTCGAGTCTCAAACCCAGTGGCTTACACTCACACCGGGCACATGTGTGCGTGCGTGCCCAAGATCCTGAGAGGAGAATGGAGGAGAAGGGATTGCAGCGTGGCCATCCCCCCGGGGGGTGATTTCTCGCTTTCTGTCTCTGTTTTTCTGATGAGCACACGCGCCCTATAGCAAAAAACCTCTAAATATTTTTTTTTAAAAAAGAACAGAACCAATTGAATTAATTGCTCTCACATTAGACAGATGTGGTTAGAAGCCTGGTTTTTCTATAGCTGCTCACCAAAGTAAGGCCTTTTTATTTATTATTTATCTATTTAAGTTGCCAGAGGGCACATGTATTTACCAGAGAGAAAGAGAGAGAGCCCTCCCCAGTGGGGTGTGGCCACACTGCAAACCCTTCTGCATTTCTCTGTCCTGTCGAGATTGGGGGCGCACACATACACCTGGCTTGTTTTTTTCAAACCAGTACCCTTAACCACTAGGCCACGGGGCTGGCCGCGAAGTTTAGCCTTTATCAGATTAGGGTATGACTCAGCAAGGCCTCCTCATACGACGTATGATTTTGATGAAAATCAAAGTGACGACAGTAGTTTCACAAGACCCGGGACTAACTCCAGCAAGTGGACTTACCTGTTTGGTTGAGCAGTTGAGCTGACCTTTCTAGGCTAGACCAGCCTTCATTGTCATACCCGAATCTGAAAGGCCAGATGGCAGCGGAAATCTCCGTGGCTGGCGCCTGAGGGATGGATTGTTTCAATGAGACCCTCCATGGCCTGAGCAATAGCAGGGCAGCCTGCTTTCCCCGCCTCCCTCACAAAACCTGCGCTTCCACAAAGGAATGTCCTTAGACATTTGCTCATATTTAATTCCATTTTTAAAATTCAAAAAATATCATTGCTACATAGCATTCTCTTAATAAATCTGTGATCCTTGAGCTTAAGCTTGGGAGTTAAGAGTGTTTGAAAACAGTATTTATAAGAAGCATTGCTTATAATAGCAAAGGATTAAAAACAACGTGTCTTGGGACCAGCAGTTAGTATAATGGTTATGTTGCTGGACTCCCACATAGTCGACCGTGGTTCGAGTCTCAGACCCAGTGGCTTAAACTCACGCGGGGCGCGTGTGTGTGCGTGCCCAAGATCCCAAGAGGAGAATGGAGAAGGGATTGCGGCATGGCCATCTCCGGGGGGGCGGGGGTGATTTTTCACTTTCTGTCTCTCTGTCTCTCTCTGTCTTCCTGGCGAGTGCACGCGCCCTATAGCAAAAACTTATCCAAAAAATGCCCTAAAGAAAAACTTATCTTAAAAAAAAAAAAAAAAAAGCTGTCTGAATAAACAAACGGTATTACAAACATAATGGAACACTCCACAGCCCTGGCAAGTGAATTAGGGCTACATATTTCCAAGTGGATGAATCTCACAAAAATGATTTAAACAGGGGCCAGAAGGTGGAGTAGTGGTGAAGGTGCTAAACTCCCATGTGCCTGACTGTGGTTCAAGTCCCAGACCCGGTGGCTTGAAACTAATGCTGGGTACGCATGCATATGTGTGCAAAATCTCAAGAGGAGGATGGAGGAGAAGGGACTGCAGATGGCCATCTTCCCTGGGAGGTGATTTCTCACTTTCTGTCTCTCTGTCTCTGCAGCAAGCACACATGCACGACAGCAAAATTCTCTTTCAAAAAAAAAATGATTTTAAGTAAAAACCCAAGTTACAAATTATATAGGGCACA